TTCCACATGTTCGATCTTCTGCAAGCGCGTCTGAAACTCTGTCATAAAGCATTTGAACAGAATTACTCGCAAGGAGGATGTGACCTTCGGTGGGACTGATGCCTTGGCCTCTTTCCAGGTTTCGCTGATCTTGAACATATCCCCCAGCATGCACTCAAGTACCTGAGTCTTCTGGTGAATCAAGAATGCTTTGTCCAGCCGACCCAAGCTTTGTTGATCCTCCAACCGGATGGCGAGTCGCGCCGTGGCACGTAGAAGCTCAAGCATCGCATCGTCCTGATCCTCGTTGCTGTTCTGTTCCGAAGAAGGCGCTGATCTTTTGGGGCGCCGCATCTGTTGTTGTTGTTGTCCCTGTCCCCTGCCCTTGCGGCGCTTTTCGGCCACTTGACTGGACGGCTGTTGAGCCGCTCCGCCATCGTTGTCTTCTTTGGATTTCCGTCTTCTTCCATGGGTTGAGCTGCCTCCCCCACCTGATTGGGCAGGAGGTGGCGAAAGAAACCCATCTCCTGTCCGGGCATGGCCTTCCTGCTGGACAACACGAAGCACTAGCAAGGTTTGGAACAAGACACCATACAATTTGGCATGCCTAGGACGATTGGAGGAGTTGATCTTGTGAGTGCCACAAAAGCCACAAGGTACAGTGATGCAGCGACCAAATGAAGCACACCGATCATCAATCTCAGAATGATATTTGTTCCAGATTTCCTTATGACTCTGTCTGATGTGCTGTTTGACCTGTCTAGCATCAGCAATCCATTGTCCACATAAACCACAGTTTTGGATAATCTGCGTTCTGACCTGATCAGCTATCAGCTCACGATCCAGCTGATGATCCACGAGGCGCTGCGAGAAATGAAGCTGCTGCCTGGCAGTCCGGGCTCCACACGGTTGGCATGCTTTCAATCAACAGCAATAAGGTCGAACCCCAAAACCCCAAACCCCGCAAGCCCCGAAATCTCAAGGACCAAGTCCCAAAACCCTATTCCGATTGCCCCATGGCTCTTGCACTGTTTGGGACCTATTCGCAAAATTTGGTCAGGGCTGCTATATGTTCTTGCACAAGCTCGCTTCCTATCACCGCCGTCAGTAACGTATAGCCGTGTCCCGCACGCCCTATGCCAGATGCAAGCATACTACACCAAAAGGATTGCAAGCACCCGGTATCTTCTCGGGCGTTGCGCACCGCAAAAAGTCTATAGCCGCTCAGCGATGCCCGTGGTGCCCCCTGCCCTCCCTGCTCTTGTAGAACCAGCCTGTGGTGGTAGCCAGACCCTGGGGCGATCAAGCGGAAACGACAGTTTCATGGAAGAGTGCCCCCGTGGACCAGAAATGGTTGAAGATGTTATTCGCGGTGTCGGGCGATCTCCCCTGGGTCAGGTAGGCGACGCGTAGGGTCGCCGATGGCTGTCAGGTAGCGGTTCTGAAACTCCCTACGGGTCAGCACAGCAGCGGTCACCGTACTGGATCGTTGCACACCGAGTTCCCCGACAGGAGCGTGCAGGACGAGCAGCTCACAGCTTGCCGCCAGGTAGCCGGGCAATCGCGGCAGAAAGAAAGAGAGGGGGAGCAAGAGAAGAAGCGGCCGGGTTCGAGCCCGAGTCCCCTGTGCAGCAAGTGGAGAGGAGAGATCGGCCCTCAGGGCGGAGGGCGGGCGACTCGGGCGGCTCTTGAACCACTGAAACGGCTGCACTCGTCTCTCTCTTTCTCTCTCTCCCTCTCCTTCTCCCAGGCTCTTGCTTTCACAAGGGTGGAGGAAAGGGCAGCGAGCCGACCCACCTCCCCTCCAGGCGCCCCCCCATATGTTACGGGGACGTGTCTCTGAAAAGGCTTCCACGGTAGATTCACCTCAATCCAACCGGCGAGAGGGGAAACTCTCCGTAAGAGTAGGACACCACACTGAACAGCATGTCAGTCGCTTGCAGAGCAGTTTGCCAGCTCTAGAGAAGCTTCAGCAGTTAGAAACACATAACCACCATCTCAAGATACAGAAGGCAGTCAAACTGACATACATGTTTCTCAGGCTTCTGTTTCAGCGACTCGTATGTTCTGTACTGGGATCAGTGCTTACTGGTGTGAAGCCATCAGGAGAAACAGGAAAAGCCTGTAGTGCATCATATATGGTTTCTGGCAAGCAGAGTCATGATTGCCCTGATCTGATTGAAATTGTCAAATCGACTAGTATACAATCACATCCAGAGCTCAAGGACTAGCTTCAAACCAAAACGATGTTGCTCAGAGTGTTGGTAAGTAATGAACCAGTGATTGGCTCAAGTCGTTATTGTCTTGGACTGCACTGTTCAAGTTAAGGTGTCAGGTGCTTGCAGTACAAACTGGGGCCGGGCAGGGGGGTGACAGCGCAGTGCCTCTCGGTCTATCCCGCTCACTCATTTTCAGGTCAGCTCGTTGCAGCGTTTCAGTCGTCGGAAAGGGCGGCTTGAAGTCGGTGAGAAGCAGCTCCAGGAGAACTCGAGGGGTGGTATGGAGCTGCTCCCAGGCTCTCTCGCGCTCTCTCTCTCTCTCTCTCTCTCTCTGCTTAACTTCACTTGCTGTAGTGTATTCACATCAACCCTGCTTATACATCTTGCGCTCGTCTCCTCCAAATGCAGCGCATGCCGCATGCTGTTGTGAAAGGGGAGCTCACGAGATCATGTCAAGCATGGGGCGACCAAATACTGCTGCAGCAGACTTCTGGGCAACAAGGTCACAATGCTGAGAAAGTCACAGGCAAAGGAAAACAGTAGCTATGACAGGCCAGACGTCATGGTTCTAGGCTCATAGAAGCGTAAAGGGTTTCGTGCTTTCCGACAATCCATCTCGCATGGCGCTAGCACGAAGACGAAATACAAACCCTGCTGTGGTAGTCCAGAGTGCCTTTCAGACGAAGGCTCAGACGAAGTGGCCATGGCATCACTGTTGCGGGTTGCGAGTTAGGGGTTTGGGCTGGGGCTAGTGGCTGGTGTAGGCTCGGAGCAGTGCTCCGGCACGCGTACATCCGCTGGCAGGTCGTTGTCTCTGTGTAAAGAGCCTGCTGTCGTAATGCTGTCAGCTCGGCTGCTATGGACCAGTGGGGATCAAGAGACCAGGTATCTTTGCCGTACCTGTGACATGAAGGTTCCAAGAAAAACTGGCCCGGAGCATACACAGCCTGAGGGGTATGGCACATGGGCTCTGATTGACGTGGCGTTGCATCGTCCTAGCGCTCCTCTTGCATCCTAAAGCCAAAAACATTGCAGCAAGAGTCATGCAGACCCAACAGTCAACCGCGCAGCCCCACTTCCTCCCCTCCCAAACGCAACTCCAAGCGACAGGTTTGTTCCTCTCGAAGCCCCAGTAAGCCATTTACTAAAGAAGACCGCTGGGGCTACGCAGACTCAAACAACTCCTGCTTAGCTTCTTGTTGATTGCAATCCCTCTTGTGCAGATGACTTGTAATCCTACCTGTCCAGTACTGTCGTGCTGTTACAGCTTATGACTGATTATACCTGCTCGAAATACCCAAACCAGCAACTTGCCAAGGTTCCGAGTGAGTGGGATGCACAACCGCCAATCCGGATCGACAAAGCAGATAAGGTCAGAAGTCGTCACCAGGTCTTCTCTGAGGCATGATCTAGCGAATCTAGCGCCGAAAATCCTGAGCGCCCCGTGCCTGAAGCAGCCAGGCCTCGGGGTCTCGTCGTGCTTCGAGGACGCGGCCTACAAGGCAGTAGCACGTAGCAAACACTCCCCCTCAGCCCTCGTGTGACGAAACAAAGCAAAGCACATCACAGCATGACTCGGCCAACCATGTCGCGGCATGTGCCCGTGCATAGACGTACAGGCCATACAGTTACAGAGAGCAAGAGAGAGCTCAACAAACGTACAAGGATGGACAAGAAGCAGGCTGGTGTGGTGCTGTTCTTCCACAGATCATCTGATAAAGTCGGGCCTGACTACTGCTGCTGCTACTACTAC